GAAATTCCCTTCTCTACTTAGTGGTAAGTATAGATACTGTGGCATAAAACTATGTCCATAATCTTGGTTGCACTGCTTTTATTTTTTAACAGCTTTATTGAGATAGAATTCACATATAAAGTGTTTTATAGTGTTTTTGTTTTGTTTTGTTTTCATTCTAGAGATTTTATACATTATTAGATTTACTCCTATGGTATTTCTATGATGTAATTAACTATAAGTTTTAGTCTTTATTTTCTATTTTTTATTGTTAGTTTCTAGAAACAAAATTCATTTTTTGGTTTTTGTCTATTTACTTTGCATAGGAAATAAAATATATTCTCTAATCAATTCTTTTTTTTTTCTTTATTTTTTTTTTTTTTTTTTTTTTAATTGTTCTATCTTTTTTTTTTAATTTTTGTTTATTGCAGTAACATTGGTTTATAACATTGTAAAAATTTCAGGTGTACATCATTGTACTTCTATTTCTGCATAGATTACATCATGTTCACCACCAAAATACTAATTACAACCCATCACCACACACATGTACCCAATTATCCCTTTCACCCTCCTCCATCTCCCCTTCCCCTCTGGTAACCACCAATCCAATCTCTGTCCCTATGTGTTTGTTTATTGTTGTTATTATCTACTACTTAATGAAGGAAATCATACGGTATTTGACCTTCTCCCTCTGACTTATTTCACTTTGCATGATACCCTCAATGTCCATCCATGTTGTCACAAATGGCTGGATTTCATCGTTTCTTATGGCTGAGTAGTATTCCATTGTGTATATATACCACATCTTCTTTATTCATTCGTCCCTTGATGGGCACTTAGGTTGCTTCCAAGTCTTGGCTATTGTGAATAACGCTGCAATGAACACAGGGGTGCATGTACCTTTACAAATTGGTGTTTTCAAGTTCTTTGGATAAATACCCAACAGTGGAATAGCTGGATCATATGGTAGTTCTATCCTTAATTTTTTGAGGAATCTCCACACTGTTTTCCATAGTGGCTGCACCAGTTTGCACTCCCACCAGCAGTGTATGAGAGTTCCCTTCTCTCCACATCCTCTCCAACACTTGTTGTTTCCTGTCTTGTTAATTATAGTCATTCTGACGGGCGTGAGGTGATGTCTCATTGTAGTTTTGATTTGCATTTCCCTGATAGTTAATGATGTTGAACATCTTGTTTCTTTTTTTCTAACTATTGATTTTGAGAGTTTTTAAAATATATTCTTTATTAAAGTCCTCTGTCAGATATGCAGTTTGCAAATATTTTATTTGACCCTGTAGCTTATTTTTTCATCCTCTTTACAGTGTCTTTTGCAGAGTAAACATATTAATTGTTATGAAGTTCAATTTATCAGTTGTTTTCTTTTATTGCTTGTGCTTTTGGTGAGAAGTCTAAGGACTATTCCTCAAGTGCTGGCCCAAAGATTTTTGAACTATGTATTCTAAAACTGTTATAGTTTTATGATTTACATTTAAGAACATGATCCATTTTAAATTATTTTTTGTATAAGATGTTAACTGTATGTCCTGGTTGATTTTTTGCTTCAGAGATCTAATTGTTCCAGTAGCATTTGTTGAAAATGCTCTTCTCACATTGAGCTGCTTTTGCACCTTTGTCAAAAATCATGGGGGGAAAAAACTGAATAAATAAAAAAAAAATCTTTAAAAAAAAATCAATTGGGCATAGTTGTGTGGACCCATTTATGAGTTTTCTATTTTGCTTCATTGACCCATGTGTCTATGCGTCTGCCAACAACACACTCTCTTGATTACTGTAGCTATATTGTGTGTCCTAATATTAGGTAGAGTGATTCCTCCCATTTTATTCTTCTTTTTCAAGATTGTTTTAGCAATTTTAGGAACAATGCCTTTCCATATAAATTTTAGAATATGCTTATCTACGTCTACAAATATGTTTGCTGGGACTTCAATAGGAACTCTTAAACCTACTGATAAATTTGGGGAGAATTGACAACTTTACTATGTTGAGTCTTCTAATTCATGATCATGGGTGTCTTTCCCTTTATTTAGATCTTTGATTTCTTTCATCAGCATCTTTTAATTTTCATCATGAAAATCCTGTACATATTTTATTAGATTTACACCTAAGTATGTGGTTCTCAATGAATGTAGAGGTTTCACATCTTCTCATTTGTTCATTAACCATTTTAATATTTGTCTTGTGAATTTCCTGATTCATTCATTTATTCATTGAAAGTCTATTATGCACCAAACACTGAACATCTAATCACAGTGTTTCTCTCATTTTCCTATCAAATGGTTCTTCTTATTTGTTTGTAAGATTTCTTCATTCATTAATGTCATTAATCATTTAATCTTTTTATATGTTTTAATAAATTTTACACTTTGATATTTATCTTTTCATTTTTTATACATTTTGACATACAAAAGTTATAAAATTTTATGTAGATAGTTGTTTTATTTTCCTTTGTGGAGTCTGTATACTTGGTATCATGCTTGTAGAGAAAGATATGTGTGTTTGTGCAGTGGATTCTATTCATAAGTATTAACTTAAAAGTGTACGGCATGCAGATATATAGTGGTACATTTGATTAGGACATGTGGGCTATTCCATAAAGAAATATTTAAGTATATAACAACGACTTAACAGACATAAAACAGTGGTTGTATACTCTATAAAAAGGTAACACTGCCTTCTAGTTGACTCAGTAAATAATTTCACTTGCTTAAAATAAGCAATATACTTTGACTTTTAAAATTACTTTAATATATAAAAATAAATAGATTAGCATAAACGTAATCTTGCAGATATCTCATAAAAACCAGTGAAAATGTTGCCAAGATTTAAAAACTGACTTTCAATTTCACTATACCTGACATTGGTAATATCTGAGTTACTAATTTCATAGTTATAATGTTGTTTTGGTTTGTTTCTCTTTTTTTATCAGCTTTATTGAGCTATCATAAAATTCACCCATTAAATTGTGTGATTTAAATGATTTTAGTGTTTTCACAGAGTTTCACGTGCATCATCACAATCAATTTTGAAAAATTTTAATTGTCCTCCGGAATAGACTGTTCCACCTAACCACCACTCCCAACCCCCCAAATCACCCCCCAACCCTAGGCAATAGCTAATTTATTCTCTGTCTACATAGATTTGCCTTTTCTGGACATTTCATAAAAATGGAATTATACAATATTTGTGGCTGGCTTCTTTGTGATTGGCTTCTCACATTTAGCATAATGTTTTTAAGGTTCATCCATGTTGCAGCATGTATCAGTACTTCATATCTTTATATTGCCTAATAATATTCCTTTGTATGGATAGACCACATTTGATTTCCATGGTCTTCAGTTAATGTACATTTGAATTATTTCCACCTTTGGCTACTATGAATAATGCTGGATGAACATTCATGTACAAGTTTGGTGTGGCCACATTTTTCTATTTCTTTTATATATATATAGTCACCGGGTTGTACATTAACTCTCTGTTTCGCTTTTTAATGACCAGTTTTCCAAAATGGCTGCACCATTTTACATTTCCACCAGCAGTTTATGAATGTTCAAATTTATCTCCATCTTCTCTAGCATTTATTATTGTCTGTCTTTATTGTTATAATTGTTCCAGTGGGTGTGACATGATATCTCAGGACGATTTGGCTCTGCATTTTTCTAACGACTAATTATATTGAGTTCTTTTCATGAGCTTATTGGCCATTGTATCTTCTTTGGAGATACGTCTATTTACATCATTTAAATGGGTTATTTGACATTTTATTATTTAGATGTATGTAATGTATATATCCTGCATATAGTTCCTTTATCAAATATATGATTTGCAAATATTTTCTCCAATTATCTGGGTTATGTTTTCCTTTCTTATTGGTATCTTTTGAAGAATAAAAGTTTTTGCCCATTTATTTTCTTCCTTTAAATGGCATATGTGTTCTTGTTTCTTTTTATGCTCCTTCATTTTCTGTTTGAAAATTGATCATTTTAAAAAACAGCTAAGTCTCCCAGTCTATGCAAACTGGCTCTGTGCCTAGAAAGTCCTTCATTAATTAGCTGGAATCGCTCTGAGCCTAATGATCAACCCAAGGTGAAAGCTTAAGATCTTCTCAGGTATTTTCTAAGCGTGTTTCTTGACTGGGCCCATATCTCACTTTTTCAATTTCCCTCATACATGGCCCCTTGGAGTCTCACTCTAACTTCTCCTTAGGACCTTAGGTCTTCTATTGTGTATTTCAGCATGTAATCTCTTTCCCCAGGCTTCTGGGTGTCTAGTGCCCCTTTAGCTTTCATGAGCAGTGACTGCCACTTCTCTCCACATAAGATCTGAGTTAGGCAAGACAGAGACTAGTCCTTCAGGCAGGCCCCAAAAAGGTTAGAATGTTTCAAATAATGTCTACTTTGTCCCCTTTGGTTTCAGGGAGAGAATTGGGATCTGGGCTACTGCTTCCTCCAGACCAAACTGCACCATTCTAGTGAAAGAATGGGGCAAGTGTGAATAAAAACACCATGAAATTTCCTAAGGTTTTGAATGTGGTTCTTTCTTGATTGGGTGTTCACTTTGTTGTGGTATGACTTTAGCTACTATTTTCCAGAGCTCCTGTAAAGCTATCGTATCTGCTTTCTGGTTGGTTTTTTATTTTTCTGTGGGGACCAAGGGCTTGGAGCTTCCTATTCCACCATTTTGCTGATGTCATTTCTACAATCAGCATCTTAACTTAAAAAAACGGTGTTCTGATTAATGTAACATAATTTCAATAGTACAGAAAAATTTTACTCCAATATTTCCTAGTTTCATCCCACCTCCTTTGTGCTATTACTGTCACAAAGTATGTCTTTATATTATTAGCCCATCAACATTATACCTATTTCTTTATGTATTTGTCTTTTAAATCAGATAGAAGAAAGTGTTACAAACAAAAATATATTTATACAATCTTTTATATTTACCTATGTATTTACCTTTACTAATGCTTTTTATTTCTTCATGTGGATTCAAGTTACACTCTAGTGTCCTTTAATTTTAGCCTGAATGACTTTTTAGTATTTCTTGTAGACAGGTCTACTAGTGATGATTATCTGGTAAAGTCTTAATTTCTCCTTCATTTTTGAACTGTTCTTTCCTGGATATAATATTCTTGGTTGACATCATTTTTTAGCATTTTAAATACGTCATCCCACTGCCTTCTAGCCTCATAGTTTCTGATGAGATGTCAAATGATATTCTTAATTGAGGATCCATTATACATGATGAGTCACTTTCTCTTGCTGTCTTTAAAATTCTATATTTGTTTTTGAGTTTCAATATTTGACTATGGTGTGTCTAGGTATAAATCTCTTTGAGTTTACCTTGTATTTTTTTGAGCTTCTTGAATGTATAAAATAATGTTTCTAATTAAATTTGGGAAGTTTTCATCCATTAGAGCTATTTTGTTTTTTTTCTTTGGCATGCTACTGCTCTGCACATGTATGTGTGTTTCTAGATACCCAGAAACATGTCAGAGCTGTAAAAGCTCCTGTCTTAGTCCATAGGGGCTGCTATAACAAAATACCATAGACTAGATGGCTTATAAACAACAGAAATTGATTCCTCACAGTTCTGGAGGCTGGGAAGTCCAAGATCAAGGTGCCAGCAGATTCAGTGTCTGATGAGGGCCTGTTTCCTGGTTCATTAATGGCTGCCTTCTCACTGTCACCTCATGGTAGAAAGGGGTGAGTGAGCTCTCTCCTCTTTTTTATAAGGGCACTAATCCCACTCATGAGGATTCCACCCTTATGACCTAATCACTTCCTAAAGTCCTTACCTCCAAAAACCATTACATTGCGTATTAGAATTTAACATATGAATTTTAGAAGAATAACAACATTCAGTCTATAGCATTCCTCACCTGGCCTCCCAAAACTCACATCCTTCTTACATGCAAAATACATTTATTCCATCCCAATAGCCTCAAAAGTCTTAACGTGTTCCAGCCTCAAATCTAAAGGCTGAAATCTAAAGTCTGTTTGTTGTTAGTGCCATCAAGTTGATTTCAGCTCCTAGTGACCCTATGTACAGCAGAATGGAACCCTGCCTGGTCTTTTTGTGCCATCCGCTCACCTTCTAGCACTATATCAGGCAATGCTCCACTGCTATTCATAGGGTTTTCATGACCAATTTTTTTGGAAGTGGGTAACCAGGTCCTTCTTCCTAGTCTGTCCTAGTTTGGAAGCTCTGCTGAAACCTGTCTGCTGTGGGTGAACCTGCTGTTATTTGAAATACCAATGGCATAGCTTTCAGCATCACAGCAACACACAGTTGCCACAGTATGACAACCAACAGACAGGTGGTGTGGTTCTCTGGCCGGGGAACAACCCTGGGCCATAGTGATGAGAGTACTGAATATCAACCACCAGACCACCAAGGTTGGCAGTCTCTTCTAAATCATTTAAATTAGGTATGGTATGACTCAATATATTATTTATTTTGAAGCAAATTTCTCTCCAACTATAATCCTGCAAAACCAACATGTTATGTACTTCAAAAATACAATGGTAAAACACGCAAAGGGCAGACATTTCCATTCCAAAAGGTAGATACAGGGAAGAAGACAGGGATAACAGGTCCTACATAAGTCCAAAAACAAATGGGGCAAAATTCATTAGACCTTAAGGCTCAAGAATAATCCTTCTTGGCTCAGTGTTCTGTTTTCCAGGCCCACTGGTATGGAGGTCCCACCTTCTGGATACACTGGAGCAGGAGTCCCAACTTCCAGAGCCACTGGGGCAGTGGCCCTGCCCCCACAGCTTTACCAGGCGGGAGTTGTTGAGTCCCCAAGGTTCAAGGAAGCCCTGCCCCCATGGTTGTGGTTGGCCTTGCCCCTGCAGCAGCTCTGTGCCTGGGCTTTGCCCATAAATTTCCTGAAGTTGAATCCCACGTCTATGGCTCTGCTTGGCATCCTTTGAAATTTAGGTGGAGGCTGTCACACCCCCAAGTCCCCTACATTGTGCATGCCAATAGAGACGGTTGCCAAAGTTTCCTGCCTGTGCCCTGCGGAGGGGTAGGCGCCATGGCCTGTGCCACACTGGGGCCTGCCAGAGCAGCACCTGGGGTAGCCAAATAGTGTGCCACAGAGTGTGGGAAGTAGAGCCCACCATGTGAGGCAATGCTGGGCAGGGCATGTAGAGGTGTCCCCTCCTTTGCATTCTTCCATTGTTTTGAATAATGTCTCCTGGCTTCTGTTGAGAAGGGTGACTAATCTCCGTATCAAATGGTTCTTTGGCCACTTAGTGTTCTCTCTCAAATGTGCCTTCTCATTTTTTACAATATAGGTAGGATGATAATTTTCCAAATCTTTAAGTTCTGCTTTTTTTTTTTTTTAGTAATTAACAATTCCATTTTTTAGCCATTTCTGTCTTCTCACCTTTTACTCTAAACATTTAGGAGGACTCAAGCTGCTCCTCAACACTTTGCTTAGAAATCACTTCAGCTAAATATCTAATTTCATTTCTCACAAGTTCTACCTTCCACAAAACACAAGATCATGAACACAATTCAGCCAAGTCCTATGCCACTTTATAATAAGGATCACCTTTCCTCCAGTTTCCAATAACATGTTCCTCATTTCCATCTGAGACCTCATCAGAATGGCCTTTACTGTCCATATTTCTACCAACATTTAGGTCAAGATTACATTAGGTATTCTCTAAGATGACTGAGACTTCCTTTACAGCTATCCTCTTTTCTTTCTGAGTCCACATGAGAATAACCCTTAAAGGTCTGTTCACATTAATGTAGGCTTTTTCTAGCATGCACCTCAAAACTCTTCTAGTCTCTACCCATTATCTAGTTCTAAAGCCGCTTCCACATTTTTAAGTAGTTGTTAGAGAAGTACCCTACTCCTCGGTACCAATTTTCTGTCTTAGTCCATTAGGGCTGATAATCACTTCCCAAAGGACCCATCTCCAAACACCATCATATTGAGTGTTAGGATTTAACGATTTAACATATGAGTTTTGGGGGGACACAAGCATTCAGTCTATACCAGCCTCCTATGGACATCTTCTTCCTCAGATCTTCATAAAAGGAAACCTAAAAGATTTTTTGACGAGGCTTCTATATGTCTCAGGCCACTGTTTCTTTTTGACAAGCTTCTGGAGACAAGCTCCTAGTCAAGTCAAATAACAAAAACACCCTGGGCATGGATCTCTTCTAGGGATATGCAAGATAGGTTAAATAGTGACAGTGCTCTGAAAATGGGACTTTTCTGTGGAGCTCCTATCCTTGTTTGTCCCCTTCAGTTGGTGCGAGTCTACTAAATTTGGAGGAAGGAAGTTAGTCTAGTTACAATGCCTCAAATGTTGCTTTTCCTGTCAAAGTTCAGCAGTTTTTAAAAAAAAATTTATTGAGGTATCTTTGATTCATAACATTGTACAAATTTCAAGTGCACATCATTATATTTTGCCTTCTGTATATACTACATGGTGTTCCTCACCAAAAGTCTGGTTGCCATCCATCACCATACACATGTGCAACTTTACCTCTTTTTCGCTCCTCCCATTTGCCCTTACCCCCTGGTAACCACCAATCTGTTCTCTATCTCTATGTGTTTGTTTGTTATCTTCCACATATGAATGAAATCATAGAGTATTTGTCTTTCTCTGTCTGACTTATTTTGCTTAGCATAATATTCTCAAGGTCCATCTGTATTGTAACAAATGACAAGATTTCATCTTTTTTATGGCTGAGTAGTATTCCATTACATATATATTCCACATCTTTTTATCCTTTCATCCATCAAAGAGCTCTTAGTTGGTTTCCAAGTCTTGGCTATTGTGAATAATGTTGCAATAAACATGGGAGTGTATTTATCATTTCAAATTAGCATTTCTGTGTTCTTTGGATAAATACCCAGAAGTAGACTTGCTGAATCATATGATAGTTCTATTTTTAATTATTTGAGGAATGTCTCTACTGTTTTCCATGCTGGCTGCACCAATTTACATTCTTACCAGCAGTGTATGAGGGTTCTCTTTCTCCACATCTTCTCCAACACTTGTTATTTCTCATTTTTTTAATAATAGCCATTCTGATGGGTGTGAGGCTATATCTCATTGAGGTTTTGAGTTGTATTTCCCTAATAATTAGTAATGTTGATCATCTTTTCATGTGCCTGTTGGCTATCTGTATATCATCTTTGGAAAAATGTCTGTTCAGAACCTCTGCCCATTTTTAATTGGGTTGTTTCAATTTTTGTTGTTGAGGTGTATGAGTTCTTTATATATTTTGGATATTAAACCATTAATGGATATATGGTTTGCAAAGATCTTCTCCCAATATTTAGGTTGTCTTTTCATGTTGTTGATAGTTTCCTTTGCTGTGCAGAAGCTTTTTAGTTTGATATATTCCCATTTGCTTATTTTTTCTTTTGTTTCCCTTGCCTGAGGAGACATATCCAAAAAGATATTGCTAAGACTCATGTCAAAAAGCATACTGCCTATGTTTTCTTCTAGGAGTTTTATGGTTTCATGAATTACATTCAAGTCCTTAATCTATTTTGAGTTAATTTTTGCATATACCATAAGATAATGGTCTACTTTTATTCTTTTGCTTGTGCTTGTGCAGTTTTCCCAACACCATTTATTGAGGAGGCTTTCCTTCCTCTATTGTATGTTCTTGGCCATTTTGTCAAAAATAAGCTGTCCATAGATGTGTGGTTTTATTTCTGGGCTCTCAATTCTGTTCCATTGATCAATGTGTCTGTTTTTCTGCCAGTACCATGCTGTTTTGATTACTATAGCTTTGTAGCATCTTTTGAAATCAGGACATGTGATACCTCCAGCTTTGTTCTTTTTTCTCAGGTTTGCTTTGGCTATTTGAGGTCTTTTGCTGTTCCATATAAATGTTAAGATTCTTTGTTCTATTTTCATGAAAAATGTCACTGGGATTTTGATTGAGGTTGTATTAAATCTGTAAGTTGTTTTAGGTAATATGGACATTTTACGTATGTTAATTCTTCCAATGCATGACCCCTTTCCATTTCTTTATGTCTTCTTGATTTCTTTCAAAAATGTCTTATAGTTTTCAGTGTACAGGCCTTTTACCTTCTTGGTTACATTTATTCCCAGGTATTTTATTCTTTTTGATACAACTTTAAATGGAACTGTATTGTTAATTCTCTTTCTGCTATATAATTGTTAGTGTGTAGAAATGCAACTGATTCTTGTATGTTGATTTTGTACTCTGCAACTTGACTGTATTCGTTTCTTATTTTTTATATGTTTTTGGTGAATTCTTTAGAGTTTTTTATCTATAAGATCACATCACCCACAAATAGTGACAATTTTATTTCTTCCTTTCCAATTTGGATACTTTTATTTCTTTTTCTTGCATAATTACTGTGGCTAGAACTTTCAATACTATGTTGAACAAAAGAGGTGAGAATGGGCACCCTTGCCTTGTTCATGTTCTTAGGGGGTTAGCTTTCAGTTTTCCGGGATTCGGTATGATGCTAGCTGAGGGTTTGTCATATATGCCGGTTATTATGTTGAAGCATTTTCCTTCTATACCCATTTTATTGAGAGTTTTTATAATAAATGTATCTGAATCTTGTCAAATGCTTTCTCTGCATCTATTGAGATAATCACATAATTTTTATTCTTCCTTTTGTTAATGTGGTGTATAACATTGATTGATTTTCCAATGTTGAACCATCCTTGCATCCCTGGAGTAAATCCCACTTGATCAAGGTGTATGATCCTTTTAATGTATTGTTGTGTTTGATTTGCTAATATTTGGTTGAAGATTTTTGCATCTATGTTTATCAGTAATTTTGGCCTGTAATTTTCTTTTTTGTTTTGTCCTTGTGTGGCTTTGGTATCAGGGTAATGTTAGCCTCATAAAATTAGTTAGAAAACATCCCATTCTCTTCATTTTTTGGAAGAGTTTGAGAAGGATAGGTATAAAATCTTCTTTTGTTTTTTTGTTTTTTTTTTTTT